GGTAGATATCAAAGAAATAATGAAGAAAATCACAACTCAAGAAATGAAGAGTGGAAGAAAGAGCCAAAATATCAAAGGTATAAAAAATCTCATGTTCGTTGTTATATTTGCAAGAAATTTGGTCATTATGCTTTTGAATGTTATCATAATCAAGAGAAAGCTAATTTTGTTAAAGAGAAGGAAGATGATCCAGTCTTATTATTAGCATTGAAAGGAGAAGAAGATGAAAAAGAAAACAATTGGTATTTAGATACTAGAGCAAGTAATCATATGTGCTGGGATAAAAACATGTTCGTAGAAATAGAGGCGATGGAGAGCCAAATTTATTTTGGCGACTCTTCAAAAATTCTGGTAAAAGGAAAAGGTAAAATCCTTATTTTTCTTAAAGATGGAACCCATCAATTTATTCCTGAAGTTTATTATGTTCCGGATATGAAAAGCAATATTTTAAGCTTGGGGCAATTACTTGAGAAAGGATTTGACATTCATATGAAGGATAGAAAGCTCACAATTAAAAATAATTCAAATGAATTAATTGCCCAAGTGGAGATGATAAGAAATATAATGGTTATTCTTAATATAAAAAATGGAGTGATAAAATGTTTAAAGACAAATGTGAAAGATCCATCATGGCTTTGGCATACGAGGCTTGGGCATTTAAATTTTGAAGATCTAAATAATATGTAAAAAAAAATGGTGCATAGCTTACTAGATATCAATCATCCAAATCAAATTTGTGAAGGTTGTGTACTTGGAAAACAACCAAGAAAGAGTTTTCCAAATGAAGCAAGCTTTAGAGCAAAGAAGCCTCTTTAATTAATCCACGCGGATGTAAGTGGACCCATTGCTCCAGCATCTTTTGGTAAGCATTGATATTTCTTAACTTTTATTGATGATTATTCAAGAAAAATATGGATTTATTTTTTGAAAGAAAAATCAGAAGCTTCACTATGTTTAAGAAGTTCAAAGCAAGTACAAAAAAAGAAAGTGGATTTTTAATAAAATTCATTAGATCAGATCGAGGGAGTGAATTTATGTCCAAAGTACTCAAAGAATATTGTGAAGAGTATGGTATTCGACATCAATTAACAGCACCATTTTCACCCCAACAAAATGGAGTAGCGGAGAGGAAAAATCGTACTATTTTTAATATGGTACGAAGCATGATCAAAAGCAAGAGTATGCCTAAAACATTTTGGGCCGAGGAAGTGACATGTGCTGTCTATACACTCAATCGGTGCTCAACTTCAAGCTTACAAGATATGACACCACAAGAAGCATGGACAGGAAGAAAGCTAAATATATCTCATTTGAAGGTGTTTGGGAGTATTGCATATGCACATGTCCCTGAACAAAGAAGAACTAAGCTGGATGAAAGAAGCTCCAAACTCATCTTCATCGGGTATCAATCTAAATCTTATAAATTATTTGATCCCAAAACTTTAAAAATTATTTTTAGCAGGGATGTTGAGTTTGATGAAGAAGGAGCATGGGATTAGAAAAATAAAGATACTCAAAAGGAAGAGCAAGTACCAGTGGAGCTACAAGATGAAGAGCAATTGTCTACAAACTTGCAATATTCATATTCTCCAAATACTTCAGAAGATAATCAAAGGCAAAGGAAGACAGAAAATTTAAGAGAGCTTTATGAGGTAACTAACGAACTTCATTTTATTTGCTCACTTGCAAATAATGAACCAATTGAATTTGAAGAAGCCATAAAAGATGAACGATGGAGATGTGCTATGGATGAAGAGATCAAATCTATAGTAAAGAATGCAACATGGGAGCTCACAATATTACTAGAAGAACATAAAGCTATTAGTGTAAAATGGATATACAAAGTGAAGAAAAATGCAAAAGGTGTAGTAGAAAAGTACAAGGCAGGGCTAGTAGCAAAAGCATACAAGCAGAAAGAAGGCATCGACTACAATGAAGTATTTGCTCCAGTTATTTGTATGGAAACTATTCGCTTGATTATTTCTCTTGCTTCACAAAATAATTTTTCTATTTATCAAATGGATGTTAAATTCGCATTTTTAAATGGAGTCATTGAAGAAGAAGTTTATGTCGAACAACCACTGGGATATATTAAAGAAGGGCATGAATCAAAAGTTTATAAATTAAAGAAGGCTTTATATGGGTTAAAGCAAGCTCCAAGAGCATGGAATGCAAAAATCGATTCATACTTCAAACAAAACGATTATATCCAATGCCCTTATGAGAATGTCCTCTATTTGAAAAAATATAATAATGGAGATATATTACTTGTTTGCTTATATGTGGATGATCTTATCTTTACTGGAAATAATCCACTTTATTCAAGGAGATTAAGCAAACGATGGTAAAAGAATTTGAAATGACAGATTTTGGACTCATGTCATTTTTTCTTGGAATTGAAGTAAAGCAAAATAAAGAAGGAATTTTTATCACACAAGAAACATATGCAAAAGAAGTTCTAAAGAAATTCAACATGGAGAATTGCAATCCAGTAAGTACTCCAATGGAATGTGGAATCAAACAATCAAAGAAAGAAGAAGGAAAGACAGTCGATCCAACTATGTTCAAAAGTTTGATCGGAAGCCTGAGGTATCTAACAAGTACAAGACCGGACACTCTATATGAAGTCGGAATTGTTAGCCGCTACATGGAAAATCCCACTGAGACACACTTGAAGGCAGCCAAGAGAATTCTTCGATATATTAAAGGTACACAAAATCATGGACTTCTATATTCTCATTCTAATGAATTTCAACTTTCAGGATATTCAGATAGTGATTGGGCTGGAGATCAAGACGATAGAAAAAGTACAAGCGGATTTTTATTTTATATGGGCGACACTGCTTTCTCATGGAGCTCACAAAAACAACCAATTGTTGCTCTATCTACTTGTGAGGCTGAATATGTTGCTACATCATCATGTGTATGTCTTGCAATATGGCTAAGGAAATCTACTGAAAGAGATTGGATATTCTCAAGGCGAAGCTACAAAAATCTATGTTGATAATAAGTCAGCAATTGCATTATCAAAAAATCTAGTTTATCACAAGAGAAGCAAACATATTGATGTTCGTTTTCATTACATAAGAGATCAGATCAAAGATAAAGAAGTTCAAGTGGAGTATGTGAAATCTGAAGATCAAATTGCAAATATTTTCACAAAGCCATTAGATGCATAACAGTTCATAAAATTAAAGATACTTCTTGGAATGGTTGATAAAAATTTTTGTTTAAGGGGGAGTGTTGGAAATATAAACCATAATTAATGTTTGAGTTTTTTGTGTATCTAGTAAATTGTATGGAAGAAAAATATAAAAAATGCAATAACTCTTGGTGGTTGGTAGTTGAGTCTTTATTATTGAAATCTCTAGAATAGGTTTCTAGAATTATCTTTGAACTAGTATAAATAGGCATTGAGTCTTGTCATATGGATGTAAGAGAGAAAATTTTATAATATAAGTTCATCTTGTTTTTATCCTCTTCCACTCATTTAGAATAATTTCTCTCTAATACTCAATTGGTCTGCTATGCCAGGAGAATATCTCTTTTGAATCTGATGGGTTGACATTGACAAGCTAACTTAAAAGTCATGTTTCAACTTTATCGTGGGGTGGAAGATGAAATTGTAGCTGTTGTTTTGTTTAAAAAAATGATCCAACAACTAATATTAAAACATAGCGAAATTTTAAGGATTTACTAGATCTTTTGTGCACATCCCATTATTGAACCAAATAATCTGAATTTTTTTACCATAGTTGCATTTATGCATGGGGGATCGAGTAAAAATTTTCTCTATAGTTTTATTGCCTATTGTAATTTAAAGATCAGAAAAGCTCACTATTTAATTTTCTAATTATTTCTAAAATCTTCAAACTTTGTTGATAATTTAAAAATGTCATTTTAAGAATATGATAATTTTCGATTAGCATGATGTTTACTCTTGTGATAATAAAGCATTTTTCTGTGTAAACTATCTTTAGAAAATCAATATCCATGCATGTTTATTGCATTTGGTCATGGGAAATTTTGGATGGCCAAACGCACCAAACGCATGCAATTAAATATCCCCAGTTTTTCTTCGAATTTTTGGGGATGATTTGCTTTATTTCATAACTAAAAATTAATTATTTCAATTCTCAAATTTAGATAAATAACCTAAATTATAATGAGAAAATTTGAAGGATTTTAATATGTTGCAATTAATTTTTAAATGCATTAGAGAATTTCTCCCACTGATTTGCATGAACAAAAACTTTAATGCTAAAATTCTTTGTTTTTTTACCAAATTTCAATATATATTACATCCCAATGGCTGTAAACATGATTCCATAGATTTACTTGGGAGCTTACTCTAATTTTCTTAGAATTATTTAGTTTAATTTCCTGATTGAATAATTCAATTAGTTACTATTTCGATTATTGAATAATTGAAATTTGATTAAACAGCTTCAATGTTTTTTGGGGTAGTCCAAATTAATTAATTTTATTCATCCGGTGCATTTTTGAATTGTTCAATTAGAAAATGCATTTTTTTCCCCATTTTTTTTATCAAATACTTTTTATTTATTTTAGATAATTTGATCAAAAGAACGTAGAATCAGGCCAAAGGCCACGACCGAAATCAACCAAGGCCATCCTTAGTTGTAGTAAAAATGGGTCGTTCATTTTAAAAAGAAAACAGGAAAAAAAAAAACAAATGCTGTTCGTCGCTCATGTATTGTACTACAACGGCTGGAAATTTCACACGAATTGGCCATCCCCTTTCCACGCAGAACCCCAACTGTTTCCACAGACATTACAATCACATGCTCTCCCAAATTATTTATTTTTATAATTAACGTGAAAAAAAATCGGCCGACCAATTAATGATCCAAACCATCCATCTTGATTAGAGCGAGTATCAATTATATCCAACTTTAGGTACAGCACACCGCCATTCAAATATTTATACCCATTAAAACTTAGAGTGATTCACCTTAGTTTTAGTTTCTTGAGCGTCGATGGAGCAAGGCTTGCTTGCAAAAGAAGAGAAAGAGGCGACAACCGGTGTGGAGTTTAGGGAAGAGGGAGGAAGGCTTGGGAGAGTGGCAGTACCAATGGTTGTTGTTTCTGTGGTGCAGTATATGATTAATGTGATATCGATGATGTTGGTGGGGCATCTCGGCGAGCTACCGCTGGCTGGAGCCTCTATTGCTGCCTCTCTCACCAGTGTTACTGGCTTTACTATTCTGGTAATTAATAAGCAGTAATGCTCGATTTAGCCTGAACTTTTATTTTTTTTATCGAGTACGTTATTATGTGAGTTAGCACACATATAATGAACGACGCGCATTGATCTTGTTGTGGGCATAATAATACGTTGCCAATTACGTATTGGTCTGTTTCCATTTGGTTTATGAGATAAGTTACTTCTGCGGATTGAGAGTGGTGAGGATAGCAAGTTTGATGTCCAGCAAGTAGGATAGAACTGGGATGAAATGAAATGTTCATGCTCTGGAGTATCCATTATTTCACAAGTTTTGAATATTAACTCATTAGTTTTAACAATACTGAATATTCTAAGCATTTTTTAGACTTCCCTTTTATTACGATGTAGAGATCAGCTTTAATTTTTATTTTAAAAAAGAATAATAATAATAATAAGCGTTAATTATTATTTATTTGTTTTTATTATAAGTGATATTTCTTTCTCTATTTTTTTTTTTTTTTTTTGAATCATACAACAGTTAATTAGAAAACATGTTCATTTTTTCTTTTTGAGACCTTTAGGCCAATTAAGTCAAACTCACACACACATAGCATACACAAAGACTCAAACTTAAGGCATCTTAGTTGGTAGTCTAAGCTCTTAACCAACAGGTCAAGATGAGATGTGTAAAACATGCTTATTCACCTTAAACATACCAATAAAATGTCTGAGACTAAATTTTAAGATATTTGATCTTTCTTCAAGCACACAAAAGTAATGTATAAGCTCTATCAATTATGCTGGTGTACTACCATAATCATTAGTTATATATAATTGACACTATGTAATAATTTATTAATGGGATATTTGATTTAATGTATTATGGGCGCATTATATTCACTTTATATGTATTTGATTTGTTTTTTGTTGGTATTTAATTTGAGAAAAAAAAAATACAAAGCGGAACTTTGAGATATTGGTCTTGTTTGAATTTAAATTTGTTTGAATTGGTTTGTTTAAATCACTTGCATCTTGTACCTCAACAATTAATTTTTCCTACCTATCTTTGTCATGATGCATCTCTCATTATTACGTATCTTTGTCATTGTTATACCACCCTAACCTTATGATAAATTTTATCATGTTAGCCTCTTTCATTCTCTCTCTATCAGCCTCATCTGATCCCATCCACATCATTCTAGCCATGACACATTCTCTCCCATCACTATCATCATCATTGTCATCCCATCATCATCACCTAATGTTATTGTTGTATTCTTGAAAAATAAAGAGATTTACATATATAACACCCATAGTTCATTTTTATATCAAATATGAGTGGTAAAAATGAAATATGTGAGTGGTAGGAAGGAAATATGAGTGACATATTTGATATTAAAATAATATAGAGTCGTATATATGTAATATTAAAGTTTTAGGTGTTAGATATATAAATAGGATGTTATAAAGTGATAGTATATAAATTTCCCAAAAATTAAATAATGCACTTACTCTTTGAGGAGAACCAAGATTGGATGCAATAGAAGAATAAAATATTGATGAGCATGAAGACCAGGACAAAACATCGGCCTGTGTAGCCATAGAACAAAATTTAAGGAGAAAAATTGATGAATGTGTCGGGAAACCCATCATTTAAGCGCTAGAGATAACAAAAAAATAATAATAACAAACAAATGGTTTTCTCTTGGATTTAAATGAACCAAGTTGGCACTCAGCCACTCATTGCCTTCATTCTCCGAGTCATCTTTTTCCCAATGTCCTGCTCATCCACATTACTGGTAAGTGAGATTTTTTATATATTTGAAATATATCGTAGCTAAAAATAAAAATAAAAAAAATTTCGATGATTTTATTTACATCCCCCAAAAAAAATTAAAAAAACTCATTAAATTCAGCATACATTAAGTTCATTCGATCTATTCAATATTTTGAAAATGCATGCATTTTAAATACATCTAATCAAATAACCCCTAACTACACAGTTCATCTTGGCCTGTTGGTTGAGAGCTTATGCTTCAACTAAGAGGTCCTGGGTTCGAGTCTTTGTGTATGCGTGGTGTGTGTGAGTTTGCCTTAATTGGCCTAAATGTCCCAAAAAAAAATAACCCCTAACTAATTAATGCATAATTGATTAAAATAAATTATTATGTTAGTAGTTGCTTCTTAAATAACTCAATATCCTAACTTATCCATAACTGAAATAATTGATTAATTATAATTAATTAGCATTATCAGCAAATAGAAATTAAATTTATTAAATAATACCTAATAAATGGCCCTGTTTATTCTGTTTATTCATAAACACAACATTTAACTATAACAATTTGGCAACCTAATTATTAATTTATGCATAAACAATTCTAATAAAAGTTTAAAATAAATTATATAATAATTTAATGATTAGCTGGAAAATTAATTCCTAATTTGCCTAGCGATTTTCGAACTATTAATTAGATTACTTATTTTTATTGGATTAATTGATGAAATATTAGATTGTCATATTATCCTAATAATAATGAGCAATAAGACAAATTATTTATTTGAATAATTTAGTAATTAATAAACATGTGTTTTAATTGAGCATTTAGTTATTATATTATTTATTATAAGATCTTTAATTATATATATATATATATTGTTCATATCAAATAAAGAACCTCTTTGATTATTTTCAGAGCTGTTTTCACAAAACAAAACATTGTAAAAACATTATCGAAAATCTACAAAAAATCAATTTTTTAAGTGCAGTAAAATAAACTTATCAGTTCCCATTGCAGTATATTTTTAATGTAATACTGAGGGCCACTTTGGTTGCATATCTCTTCAAGAACAGTAATTGCTGAGAAATGAAAATTTCTGAATTTATTGGATTCCATCATTTGATTGTTGAACACAATTAGAATTTATTCTTAATTCTCTCCATATACTTTAAAGCTTCCACATATAAAGATGAACATTTTCTTTAATTAAATGGCATATAAAGATCATCGTTTTGATTGCAGAATCAACAATTCAAATATTCACACCGTAAAGGTGAATAATACTTACTGCTAAGAATGGCACAGAGCATAAACCTATATCATTGGATTAGTAATTAGTATTTCTTTCATGAACAACAGATTGGGATGGCAAGTGCATTGGAAACTCTATGTGGCCAAGCATATGGAGCACAGCAATACCAGAAACTTGGAATACACACATACAGTGCCATCTATTCTCTTATATTAGTCAGCCTTCCCATTTCTATTATTTGGCTATCACTGGGGAAATTGCTTCTGTTCATTGGTCAAGATCCACAAATCTCAGAGGAAGCAGGAAAGTATGCAGTGTGGACTATCCCAGCAATCTTTGCCTATGCCATATCTCAACCGTTGATGAAGTTTCTACAGTCACAAAGTGTCATTCTTCCCATGCTTCTTAGCTCTATAGCAACTCTTTGCTTTCACATACCAGTCTCTTGGTTTTTGGTTTTCAAGTCCGGACTTGGAACTGTTGGGGCTGCTCTTTCCATAAGCATATCATACTGGATGAATACAATTTTGCTTGGACTTTATATATTTCAGTCTACTTCTTGCAAGAAGATCTCCTTGTCGCTTTTAAAGGAGGCTTTCAACGGAATTAATGAGTTCTTAAGGCTTGCATGCCCGACAGCAGTCATGATTTGGTAAAAACATATTTAAGCATTTTACATATGTGTGCTTAGTTTGAAATATGGATGCTCTTCAAAATTTCAGTGAGACTTGTATTGCAAAGTAATATTCTCATGTTTTATTTAAAATTTACCTCAGAGTTTATTTATTTAGCAGATTTGCTGCAACGTAAATGCAGCAAAATCAACAACATTTGCTTGGCAAAGATTTACTATACATGCATTCTAAATGCAACTAACAAGAATCCCAGTTTCTTACAATTTACCAAACTAATTGCAGTCTGGAATACTGGTCATTTGAAATGCTGGTTCTTCTTTCTGGCCTCTTACCAAAACCAAAATTGGAAACCTCTGTGCTTTCAATATGGTAAGCAGCCATCAAAACTTCTAAATATTAGTAGATCTTTGCTATTGGAAAAATTCTCCAATGATTTTAAATCTTTGTGAACAGTCTCACAACCATATCACTGCTTTACAACATTCCATATGGACTCGGAGCTTCAGCTAGGTAAGTTCTAAAGTTAACAGTTCAATTATTAGTGTGAGATGATATGCATGTCTACAGGTGTATAACATTGATAGGGTCATTGCTTGTATTATTAGCACAAGGATAGCTAACGAATTAGGAGCTGCAAATCCGAAAGGAGCACGCTTAGCTGTACATGTTGTGATGTTTATTACAGTGATGGAGGCCATCATAACAAGTGTGACTTTGTTCTCCATGCGTTACATCCTGGGTTATGCTTACAGCAATGAGAAGGAGGTAGCAGATTACGTTAAGGATATGGTTCCTTTGGTATGTCTATCAGTGTTCATGGATAGTCTTCAAGGTGTTCTGTCAGGTAATTTAGATTTTTCTGTTCCGTAATAACACATTCATCCCTAAAACTTAATATTTTTTTATTTTTTTTAGCCTTTTTTTGCAAGAGGTTCAATTCCTACAGAACTATCTTATAACTTTAAAATATGAATGCAGTTTATTATGATAATTAACATGTAAGAATTATAATTCATCAATCGGACCCAAATAGTTGGCATAAAGCTAATGATTTGCAAGTTATTGGTAGAATAGTTTGCTCTGGAAAAAGTGCCATTCAACAGTCAATATTCAGATAAATCAGTTGTAAAATAGAGTCCCGCTGCCTATTTATGCGAGGCAGAGCAATCACTAGTTCTGGAAAATAATCTGACGAAAATTACTGATCATAAATGAGCTCAAAAGGAATGGAAAATAGATATTTTCATGTTTTAATAGTAGATAAAACGTAATAGAAAGAAACTTTGTAGAGCCCAACACCTTTTAGTTAAAAGAAAACAAGCATCTAAAAGCTTTGGTGGAGAGAATGTGTAAAAGCTTAGTATTCAAGTTGTTAATTAGCATTTGATTAACCATGGACCAAATTTATTGGTTTATTAACCGTTTCTTCATTCAAAGAAGTGAGATTCGAAAGGGGCAATCAAGCATAATCTTAGTGAATAAACTGGGAGCTTAGGTTTCGCGTGAATAAAAATCTGGTGCTTAAGTAATTATAAAAGTTCCAATCACATAGATTTTATTGTAAAATAATGATTAAGTATTAATTTATCAAAATGTCAATGTGTTGGACTTACTTTCTACTTGGACTGACTCGTACAAGATAATTATAGCCCGCATGGATTATTTTGTTCCAAGAAATAAAGAAGATTAAATAAAGTTAAGAAAAAGCTTCTACTATCTCAAAGCTGTAAACAAATAAAGTGAAACCAAGTTAGTAGATCTTCCTTATACTAAATAGTTTTTCAATGCTTATAACTTTCATATGATATTTTTCATTTTGTACTTTTAGGTGTTGCTAGAGGATGCGGATGGCAGCATATTGGTGCTTATGTAAACCTCTTCGCCTTTTATCTGATTGGAATCCCAACAGCTGTGGTCCTTGGTTTTGTATTGCACATTGGAGGGAAGGGGCTTTGGGTTGGTATACTCTGTGGATCAACGGCACAAACAATCTTGCTTTCTGTTGTGACAATTTTTACAAACTGGGAGCAGCAGGCTAGTACTTCAAATTTAGACTTGATAAATAAACTTTTCAAATCTTGACTCGCAGTATACGTACATTCAATGCTTACACTTTGTGAATTTAATCGTGAAACAAATATTTTTTGAAAATGTTAACTCTGAATTTATTGTTACATTGTGCAGGTAGATAGGGCAAGAGAGAGATTGTTTGATGAAACAGTATCGTTGGTGAATGACAGCAAGTGAATCTGGATTCATTCTTGATCTGTCTTTCAAGGTTGAGAGATGATCGAGAAAGGTTTTCAGAAATAGTTCTGAATCCACAATGCCAGTGCAAGCAGTATTTTTGGTTCAACTTAGTGTGTAAATTATATGGATGATTTAAAGGTATTGTTGTTATATAGCAGAAAAAAATCAGCATTCAAAACATTTGGTGGTAAAGTTGGTATAAAATTCAAGCGTGGGATAAACCTCACACCAGATGGAGCAAAGGACCTTTCTGAAAGTTCAGTATTTTTTTTTTTGTTTTTACATTTTCATGTGATTAAGCACCTCTCCGAAAACTTCATCAATGATATGCCTCGTTGAGTTTCAACCTGCAAAGGCAAATGTATAGGCGCCATTCAACATGACTTGGAAGCTCCTGTTGTTTGAAAAATTTCCTGTTTTCAGTTTGTGATTTATGTTATAATTGCCGAACACTATGTTACCGGCAGACTAAGTCCGCCGGTAACACTAGAAATCCTTCGGAAATTCTCTCTTTCCGGCAAAATACCAGCGAAAATTGTTTCGATGGTAATTCGCGCGTCAGTAAATCTAAACTGGCGAAATGTTCCACCGGAAATGTTTCTGGCGGTGTTTCCGGCGCATCCCGGTGCCAAAACAATGTGAAACCGGCGTCTTTTATGTTAGAAAATTCTGGCGCTTTCTTCGCCGGTATCTCTGGCGAAAATTGTACTCCAGAAATACCGGCGGATAATCTGCCACCTTCAATCGTCGCACTATTATCGACGGAGATTACCGGCAGATATTCCGCCGAAAAGTCCGGTGCAAATGTACATGAGAAACGATGATTCATTTTCGTTGTATAGTGTTGCCGACGGTATTTCCAACTGAAAATCTGCCATAATCCTATAGCATAAACAAAAAAAGAAGAAAAAACAAACTAACTTTTAAAACTGATTCCCGCAATATAACTTGTATAAAAAAAAATCATGCGCCAGTTATATTAAGATGGCGGACGGGTCAAAATAGGATCTTATAATCAAATTTTCCGGCGGATTATCCGCCGATTATAGTACCGGCATATTATCCACCGGTAACATTTTGTTGAGCTTAAGTAAGCTGGCACAATATTCGCCGATAATTCTGCCGGTTAATTCTGGAGGAACATTCTCTTGAAACCTTTAAAATACCGGCGAAAACACAACGGAATATGTGTTGGTGTTTTAACAGCAGAAATTTCATTGGACATTTCACCGTTAATTTACCGGTACATATTCCACCAGTAAGATTGTCGGTTGTTTCGATGTAACTATTGCTGCCGGAAAGTCCGACGGTAACAAAAGATTTTCCTGTAGTTGATGTCTTATTATATTTCATGCACATTGTATAATATTTTCCTTGCTTGTGTTATTTACAAGACCTGAAGTTTTTTTTGAGGATGAGCAAAGCTTAGCACTTCCAATTCACAAATGAGAAGTGGGATCAAATAGATAGGATCTCGAAAGTCAAGGGTCATGAGGTGAATATCACCCATTTCATAATATTTAAAGGCTCACTGGTTGCTTGATGCAAAAAATCATGCTAGTTAAAACACTAAATTTGTTAAATGTATCGTTGAATTTGTTGTGTGTTGATCTCATTTTTGACTGAGGTCATTTATACCCAAATTTTAAAATTCCATCTAAAGCCTATCATTGTATTTCTATAGTGTTACATGGTTTTATCAAGCAATAGGGACCCAGTCCTAGGTTTGTTATCTTGCCATGTAAAACACTAACTTGCCTAGTACCCTATCTTAAATTCAATGACTAATCTAGATGACCTAGACCTACCCATTAGACTCCCAAACCCTAAAATCTAAACATAAACATCTCTGAGCCCATCTAACTCTAAACTATGCCATGGTTGATTCAAGAGTCAAGGGCTAAACCCTAATCTACTTTATATATGCCTAGCAGAATACACTATGCAAGACATTTGCCTGTTCACCTCAAACCCTATAGAAACTTCAACTTTAGGAGCTTCATACACTAAACACATCAACCCCAGCTCCCCAAGCAAAGGGTTAACCCACTCAACCTACTTCAGCTAGGTCAAACTAGCCTAGTAGATCAAAACCTTGCATACATTTGATAACCTACATCATTCCACAAAACCTCACCTAATCGACCCTATCAAAGCTCCTAAAGGATTGGACATGTCTGGTATACTCCATTGAGTTTAAGGTTGTCTTGGTCAACTCAACCAGTAATTGATCAAACTAGCTTATCTTGGGTCAAATCCTCCCATGTGATCAAATGGACTTGCCCCATTACTCAAGCCTAGACTATTTCACCTCCTAAACATATGGAAGTCATAGCCTAGACCATTCATAGTGAGCTGACTTAGTCAACCCCTATAAAATAGTAAAACCTAGGTTAATCATAGTATCCTTCTAATAAACGTTAAATCCATCAAACCAAACCCCATAAACTTGATTCTATCAGCTTATAGAGAATCCTTAGGCTCTATGCTATGGGTGCTTGACCTTCTTTGACTAGTAAAAGTGGTCAAACACTCCAAAACACTTAAATGGTCAACCTCCCTAAATAGCTCATTTCTTTCTTGCCTAGCTCATGTGGCTTGCTAGATTGGACTCTAAAACCTTCCTACAACTCCTTAAACCTAGACCAAAGGCTTGGTTTGGATTGAACCTGACCTAGTGGTCCCTCCATGTAAAAGAACTTTATGTCATTTTCACTCTACACATGCCTATCACACACTTTAGAAATTATTTACTTGGATAACAACCTCTAATCTAGGAAAGGTTGGTGATTTTCTTAGTATGATTGGGTTCCTTGCTTGGAATTTATCATATACTATGTTTTCTTACTTTTCCTATAATTTGGATGTCATATCATATATTCTACACACTTACTTTCCTACTACAACACTTTACTTTCATGTATTGCATTGCATCTTACTTCATTTCCTTGTATATACACATGTATTATTACTTGTAAAGAGTTAATTTATAATGTAAATAAGATAAATATAAATGCAAAGAGTCCCTATATATGTAAAGTGTAGATTTCTTGTTTACTTAGATCAAGTTGTAAAAGTATAGAGTTGTGAAAATTTTAAATGTTACTACTCGAACATATCTATGTATAAGACTTCGAAAGGAAATGACCCTTTTTCCTTTGAGGGCAATCTCTTTTGGAATTCTCTATAATATAGAAAACTTGTAGATGGAAGACCTGAATAAATAATAACTTTTAGATTTATTGTATTATAGGAGTAGAAATTCACGCTTGTTGTAGCGGAGCTAAGCCAACTTTTCTTTCTTGCAAATAAAGTATTTTGGACTTATAAATATAAATAACATAATTTTACTAATGTGACTCTTAATTTTTAGACGTGGATGGAAGTTTATGCATCACTAAATCTCTATCGAGCTTATAGGGGTAAAAAGAAAAACTTATGGCTTTCCTAGAGTTTTGCAATCTCCATAAAACCTAGAATATATAAGCATCCTATGTCTAAGAATTCCATCAGTTCATTTCAATACTGTTGACGAACATTTTCGTGTTGAGCCAACTTCGATCGAGCCCAACTATGCTTGATCGTACTGGATCAATTCTATCGAATGCAGCCAAAGTGAAATTAGATCCCGATTTGTTGAATTTAAATTTTAATTTCATAAAATTAGCCTTATTTTAATTAAATTCTATTAAATTTAATTAAATTCAAATCAATCCAAATCAAATCTAGTTGAACCTCGTCAAGCCAAATTCGACACATTTTGGCATCAATTCATGTTTAATTTCATGAAATTTTATTGATTGAACCCACTCAGACCCCAATCAACTCAAATCAATTTGGGTAGTGTCCAATTCGGGCTCAATTTCAACCCTCATTATCAAATTAAGGTTCATCTAGCTTCCCAAATAAAGAAATCAAGTGATGGGCTCAGATTTCATGTGAAATCCCACCCCAAATCTTTTGTTTTGCATGAAAAGGGACCTAATTGGGCATTTTTGGGTGGTGGGTTGATATTTGTTCTCTTCAAGAGCATGCAAGGGAGAAGGGGGAGCCATTCGGCTCCCCCGTGTGTGTTTCATCCATCCTGAACGAGAAAGAGAGCGAGAGAAGAGGGTAGAGCCTCTGGCTTGCATCCATCTCCAACCGAACAAGAGAGTGAGAGAGGAGGGTGGAGCCTCTGGATTGCATCCGTCTCCAAGCAAACAAGAGGCGAGAGGGAGAGAATAGCCTTGCAGCCCATCCTGCTTGCATGCGAGCTTTCTAACCAAGAAAGGAAGTTCAATGTTCCTCTCTTCCTTGCATGCAATTTAGCCAAGAGGTAGGGCCAATCGAATATCTTCCTCCTAGTGAAGAAGGGGGATTTCTTCTGTTGGCTTCTTGTCTTCTCCCTCCAAACAAGAAGCTAAAACTTTTTTCCTATTGTTGTTGGCCATTTTCTCTTTCAAAATTTGGAACCAAATTGTTGTTTTAGATATTTTCTACTGCATTTAAGGGAAGTAGAAGACCTAATCTCCCTCCCAAGTCATTTCCAATAAGCTCGGGACAATGGAGGTAGCTTCTGGAAGCCTTCAAATGTTGAAGACAACGGTTTGATACATTTTGGACAGCATATTTGTCTTCCAAACATTTTGTGCAGCATCTTGGAGCCTTCAAACTGCCTTGGATATCAGTTTGGATCCTTTGAAACACCTTGGGAAGTAGCTTGGAGAGCCTTCAAAAGGGCTTGGACAATAGTTTGGAGCCTTTAAAACACCTTGAACCGCACTTGGAGCTTGGATTGGAGCTCTTGGACAGCCCGAGTGAGGTAAAATCCTAAAACTTAGTGAGGCCTAGGGTCTCCCAAGCCTAATGGTTGTGTGGTTCACATCCCCAAGCCTTAGGTCCTTTAGAAATTTAATTTTTGCATCCCTAAAATCCCTTGCTCGTTGTCCTCCTCGCAAAACAATGAAAGTTTGGTTACTTTCATTTGTTTACTCTCTTTTCAGAGTCAATGGGACATGTCGACACACATAGGGTTGTCAGATTGGTGTTCAGTGACCTCCCAATGCATGTTCAAGCACTCATGTTATGTCCAATCCATCACCTCAAATCATGCCTTAGGGTAGACGCTATCATTTGATCTCAAAGTCAATGATGATGCATAGGTTCAGATTGTCATTAGTTGCATGCACTTGTCATTAAAATGCATTGTATTGGAAAAATTGACACCCAATTTTAGGAGAGTTTTTATCCATTAAATTGATAATATCTAGAGTTTTGTTTAATGCATGAATTGAATCTAATTGAATTGGGCTCTCCAGTCATTGTGAGACATAGAATTTTAAGGGTCTATGTAACGAATCTCACAACATGAAGAATCAATTAAATTTATATCTTGTACAATACAAAACTAAGAGTGTGGAATAATGCAAATCTTGAAATGATTGTTTGTTGAAGCAATTTAAGTATGTGAGGATGTACATAAACTTGAAACTCACCTTAAATGTGTGCACCCTTCTTTCAAGTATGACTCATGGAAAAAGTGACTTATGAGTTGCAAGAAGTGTGCATATGGTGAAGTTTGTAGACTCTAGTGAGGTTTTGTGAGTGCTTGAATATGAATTTAGTCAACTATTAGAAATATCAAATCATTGTAAGGTTTCGTATAGAGTTTCCAAAGTTCATGTTGTAGATCCCACAAAATATATTGTTGATTAAGTTTATGTATAACATTGTGCAAAACCAAATACTTGATTGCTTTCAATTACTAAAATTCCTTAATTTAGAGAATCATCTACACATGCATGCACTCCTAGGTTCTTCATAGATCATACCGAATTTGATC